CAGTTCAACATCCATATTGTTCCTTTGAATGTATATGTCACTCAAATATGAACGGAACGGGGACGTGTCATTGACAATGACTTGTTGACAAATAACCAAACTACCTACTTGACCAATCCCATAGACCATGTATACGACCAATCACAAAGGCTGTCTGTTCGACCAATCATATATATTTGACCAATCACAGAGGCTGTCTGTTTGACCAATCCCAAATATCTGTGTATTTGACTAATCACAAAAACTTTCTATTTGACCAATCACAAAGATTGTTTACATGACGAATCCCAAAGATTTTCTATTTGATGAAGCACCAAACTACCTATTTGACCAATCCCAAAGACTGTGTATGTGATCAATCCCAGAGTCTTTCTATTCGACCAATCACAAAGACTGCCTATTTGTACAGTCAAAAAGACTGCCTCTTTACCAATACATAAAAAAGACCAATCCCAGAGACTGCATTTTTACAATTTGACCAAATATTATATTTGACCAGTCCTAAATTACTATTTGTATATTTGACCAATCACCATAATTTACTCTTTACCAATCACAAATACTGTATATTTGGCCAATTACGAAGATTATTTCTTCAATAGCAAAGATCAATTCCAATTATTACCAAAGACTGTATATTTGACCAGTCCTAAATTAATATTTCATCCAAGACAGCCTATTTGATCAATCACAAAGACTGTATATTTAATCATTCCCAAAAAATATGTACGTGACAATCACAAAGACTTTCTATTTGACCAATCACAAAGATTGTTTAAATGACAAATAACAAAGATTTCCTTTTTAAAGAATCACTAAACTACCTGCTTGACTAATTCCATAGACTGTGTTGGTGACCAATCACAAAGACTGTGTATTTGACCAATTACCAAGATTATCTCTTTACCAATAGCAGGACCAATCACCGAGACTGTATTATTACTATTTGACCAAAGACTGTACATTTCACCAGTTCTAAATTGTTATTTCACCCAAGACTGCCTATTTGACCAATCACAAAGACTGTATATTTGACCAATCACAAAGACTGTATATTTGACCAATCACAAAGACTGTATATTTGACAAATCCTAAATTACTATTTGATGCAAAACTGCCTATTTGACCAATGACAAAGACTGTATATTTGACCAATCACAAAGACTGTATATTTGACCAATCACAAAGACTGTATATTTGACCAATCACAAGACTGTATATTTGACCAATCAGAAAGACTGTATATTTGACCAATCATAAAAACTGTATATTTGACCAATCACAAAGACTGTATATTTGACCAATCATAAAAACTGTATATTTGACCAATCACACAATACTGTATATTTGACCCATCATAAAAACTGTATATTTGACCAATCACAAAGACTG